ACTTTTTAAAATATGTTTTTTAAAACAGATAAATTAAAATGAATTTTTTTGGTTCAAAATCTCAAAATATTTTGTCTTTATTAGCTTGTTTTTATAAATATATATATATTTTAAAAGAAAATGAGCCTGCAAAGTAAGTAGTATATTATTAGTATATATTATTAAGTAAGTAGTAGTAAGTAGTATATATTTTCAGATCTCTATTTCAAACCCATAAAATGTAAGTGAATTTATCATAAAACGACATTATCATCGGACAAATTCTCGAGAAACGGGTCAATTTTCCCGGGAAATACAGAGCAATCCGTTTCGATGTCTTACTTTTCGTCCAAATTCAATCGTTTTAATCCTGAGAATCAATTTGCGGGTTATAAATTTCCGATTGAACTTTCTTCAAGTTTCAAATAATTGTCTCTCGCAATTGGAACTTTTCTAAAGAGCTTTCAGATATTGCTTTCCATCAAGGCTACAAACCAAAAACTCGTATGTTTCTAATTCCCTCCAATAAGACCCAACATTTTGCATTTTACGACTTTGACGTCACCGCGTTTTATTAAAGCCGCTTGCTGGAAATAACATACTTGAAACTTTTTTCCGGTGAAACTCGCGTTGTTATATTTTAGCGAAATTAAATAATGTCCGAGATTGGTTTTCGCGGAAGGAAGCGAGAATGGAAAAGACGGAAACATCGAACCAAAAAATATTCAATAAGTTAAGGAAGACACGATCATTTATAGGATCATTTAATGGGAGTAAATCGAACGCAATATAAATTCCTGGCCGATTGGAATTCGGTGCGCTTATGAAGCGCCATATTACTGAAAGTTTTCAAATAAAAGGACGCTGCGTAACGACATTAAGGAGGGTTGGGGCTATATTGACTTCAAGACTCCACCAAATCCCATATCCATCAAATTTCAAACTAGCACTTGGTTATGCTCCACTGATTTTTTAATTGCTCCCAACTTCATCCGTGACGGGAAATTGGCCGATTTTATTACTAGAATCGATTCCAGGCACGAAACCCAGAGAAAATTTCGTGATTTAGATAATTATGTCTTATCTCTCCTTTACCAATGGAATTTGATCCATCTTGTATATACAGAGTGAGTCATTAGTGAAACTGTAATAAAAATAACATGATAGAAACAAGCCTTGCCTTTCAATCTGCAAAATTTCAATTTTTTATTCTAAATAATAAAAAAATAAGTCAAAAATCTTACAAACAAAAATCTTAAAATAAAAAATCGATTAAATAAAATTATGTATAAAAGAAAAAACTTCCTTCATCTTAGCTCCCGTCGTCAGTTCCTCAGTTATTACTTCAGTTGCATTTCAGGAAAAAAAATTCTCAAAAAAAATTATCTAATAAGGATACATTTTTTTAAGAGGCATGCTATTATTTTTTGTGCTTATTAGGTTGGTTATTTACATATCCTCATTTTTTTTTTCAAATCGGTTAAGGGATTACGGTAAAAACCAATGAAAATAAAAAAATCGGTTTTGCATCTTTAGTTTTAAAAATTAATAAAAAATACAAATAGTATCGTATTCATAACATTACTACAAGATATTTATTAAATAAAGTCTAACAGTCTCATTAAGATAGTTTGATTGATCCGAATTTCTACAGGTGTGCACTATTTACTATCAAACTTTTCAAATTTAAAAGCTTTATATTTTTCTTATTTTAAATTGGAACTCTTATTATTTTAAATCATCCAATCTTATCTTAACGCAAATCCTAACAAATTCGGAATTATTTGCCAAAAACTCGTTTTGTCAGTTGATAGTGACAATTTTATTCTTATTATTTGTAAATCAAAAAAAAGGTGCAAATTTTAGTGCTTTAACATTTTCATAAAGAGTTGCAGTCGAGAAATTACAAAAAAAAAGTTTCTTAAAAGTTGAATAACTTAAAAAATTTAAATAAAACACTTTATTATTTATTTTTGCATTTACAAAACTTTTAAATTGTTTTTCT